TTCTGCTTTTCATTGACTGAGCTCACCCTGCAGTTATTCTGCAGGTAGATCCCTGGCTGTCTCTTGCATGTTGCATGCACTGCAACTGCGTGGCTGAGATTGCCCCTCTCCTTCAGAATTCATGGTGAGCACAGCCATTACAGCAAACAGCTAAATACGGCTTTTGGCCGCCAAATTTCACTTTCATTGCTGTCAGAACATCACTTATCATGGCTGGGCTATAATTTTCAGGCTTGTAAAACCTCAATTGTCATGTTTGGATTTTCTTTAACACTTATTATAAATGCATGAATTTGATTTGTGTAGAATGGAATGACTCTCGGTGGCTCAGGGATTTGGCAAAAAGCTTCATACATTTCATCAAAATTCTGTTTGGCCTAGAGAGGCGTTACAATTCTAGATAAAAAATGTGCTTTTTTAATACAGATGTAATTTGTAATAGAATGTTCCAAAATAATTCTGTATTACAGATGAACTGAAACAAAACCAACATGATCTTTTCCTCTCTACCATGGGAATTAATTTAGATTGAGAAAAAGGAATTGGGAGAGTCTGATTTGACACATTTTGCAAAATACATGGTGGGTGAGTGCAGGGGAAGGAAGCAATTCCATCACCTTGAGCAGGAGGCCAAGAAGTGAGCACATACAGTTCCTTGCAGTAATCCTTGGAGCTGTCTAGGAGCCTTAGGCAGTGTTAGGGAGCAGCAATATTTGTGTAAATCATAATTAGTAACAAAGCAAATTACAGTGAGAGCTCTTTGGTAAACAGAAAGAGGAAGTCTGCTGAAATTTGCTTCCTTTTAGTAGGACAATTTGGATTATTTATAGGCATCTGAACATTTGGAAAAATCTAGGAAGAATCTGAAAATGCCATGTTTCTAAAACAAAAGATAAAGTTTTACCCTTTTTGGGTCATATAACTTGGATCTATATTTACACTGGGTTGAAGCTTTTGACTAAGCAAATACATATGCATGAAATCTTATTTTTACACTTAATTTTGGTGTTTTGGTAAATGCAAATGATGGAAGAAGTTGACATGAATAAATTGGCACCAGCTTAGAAGTCACCTCATTGCAAAGCGAGAGACATTTGGGACTGTTCATCACCTTGCTGCAGGGAAGGCTTCTGGTGTTAAGTCAGTCAGTCTCATGTTATGTATCAGGAATGTTTTCAACTCTAGGCTGAGGATCTACAAGCTCTTGAAGGAGCCAAGAAACAAATGCAATACTTGAGCATGTTTACTGTAAAATGAAGGGCTATTTTATCTCAATCAAATAAACCAACAAGTGAACTGCAAATCTGATACTGAAATAAATCCAATTTACTCTTGGGTAATTGCTTATTTGATTCTCAACTATGACATGAAGTTAGAAAACAAATTGATATTCTGTCACTTCTGTTTCAGTAAACTTAACTCAAACAAGTTGCCCTTTAGGTGCATCTTGGATAGAATGGTACTTTATCTTCATCCCAAGGAAATCAGTGTATTAAATTTGTTTGAAAAATTATTATCCAAACCATGAGTCCTTTTCAGACAGTGTTTGAACTGCATACTAAAAAGGCCAAATTTCCCCTGAGAGCCAGCACAAGCACAGAGAAGATAAACACTGTGGTATATCCTCCCTCTGCAAGAAAATGTACCAGCAGCAAAGACACAACATAACCACAGACAAACTCAGTGAGCACAGAAACTGCAGAAATCTTGTGGGCATGGCCATCTTCCTCTTTCCTCATGGCCAAAATACAATGCTGATGTGACTCAGCATTTCAGGAATAAGCTATATAGACCCTATACTGCCTCAGCCATGAGCAGAGTACTAAATCCAGCACCACATCCACAGTGGTGAAGTTAAACTGAAAGGTGTCAAAACCAAAGGAGTAATGAAAGGGCAGGGAATAGGAGGAACACCCTTTCTGCTGAGAAGTTCTAGGGGCTGAAAACGTTTGTTGAAATAAAAGAGAATCAAGATTCACACCAAAAAAACGAGGCTAGGTTGTTTAGCACAGCTGAGGTCAGAAAAGGGGCTGGCTGACTCTGCAGCTGGGCACTGCATGGAAAGGCTGGGATCGAAACCTGCCCATAGGACACTCACCCTGGACTCACAGGGAGTCATCGTCATCATCTCTAGTTTAAAGGTCACATCAAGGCAGGTTTAGGGAAAAAAAAAAAATTCCCTTAAATGGTCCAAGGTATAACTAATGTCTGTGCAAGCTGAGAGAAGATTACAAAAATGGGTCCTGTTTTTTTAATAATTTTTCAATTTATAAATGTAGGGAAAAGGACATTTGTTCTGGACAAATTACCATTTTTTGTTACATGTTCTACTTTAATTATAAAGAATTTTGGATTAGTTTATATGCTTAAAGCTACACTAATAAAATTACAGTTACAGAAGCAGATATTAATTAAATAATGAGGTAGGACAAGTTAAGACATAGCATTTAGTACCAATAGGGGTGGCTTAGCAGTTTGTAGGAACTAGGAACATCAAGAAAGAATTTCCAGAGCACCCATTCAAAAATTCTATTAATGTATATTTATACTCTGCATACAATAACCATTACTACAGCTAAAATATTTAGATTTTATGTAATATGTACTAGTTCCTCTGCTCTGGTACCCTTGGCCCTTAGATAATAAATAACATTAATTTTTTTAGGCTTGTCAAGGCATGCCTTTAGGAGACTGTGGATAACATCCAGATGACCCTTCCTTATATCTTCCTTGAATAAGAAGGTTGCTACACATGGTTTGCCTCTAAATAAGTTACATGTAGAGGGATCTTGTTTTGTAAGATCTTTCTCAAAATCAAAAGTATTAGAGCTTGTAAAAATAAGGTCTCTAAGACTGGATAAACTCAGATTTTTCGACAAATCCTCAGTTCCAAACCATCATCACTTTCTCTGAGTGGGAGTTTTCTACAGAAAAACTACATCTTCTTTTCATTTTGCTCTTCATTCACAGTTACTTGAAAAATTGATGTTTCACGACCAGAATTTGTGCTTTACAATTGATTACCCACATTGTGGTTGTCCTATGGAAAACATCCCATGGGAGAGCCATGAGGCTCACAAAAAGTTTCAAAACCTATGTATGAGCACCTTCAAAGCAGAAGCAAAAATCCATTTACATTTGCACATGTAGTTGTTTTAATTAGAACCATGGATTTATCTGTATAAGTAAGCACAGGGCAGAATTACTTTCAAAAGAAATCAGTGACTTGAAGAACTCTTCCCCCACCCCCACACCCCCACTTCATCCCATTGTAAGTAACACTGTAAGTGTTGATTATTTTAATAATAACAAAAAATGAAGAAAGAACAAACCCCAAAGAAGATTTAAGTGATCTGCAATGTGCAGTGGAGTGTAGACCTGTGAAAGGGCCTGCAAGGGCTCTTCTTGCTGGGAGAAGCTGATGTTGCTGTGTCACAGTCTCAGGGTCTGTGCTGCTCTGAGAGCCTCCCCAGGACCTGCCCAGCAGAGGTCCCTGGGTGCAAATCAGCTCTTGTCACCAGCCCAGCAGTCCTGTTTCTGTCCCCGGGGTTTTACATGCAATAAGGACCTTCCCTGGGAGCTGAAGATCACAGCTGGGACACAGAAAAGAGGTGGCATGGAGAAATGTGCTAGAGGGACAAACTGAGGGGGATTTGGATTAGAAGATTCAGAGGCTGGGGTGAATTTGGTGAAAAAAACCACAATTTTTGGGCATTTAACCAGAATTATTCTGTTTAGAACTCAACCGAAAAACCTGATGTTAGCATAACACCAGAACAAAACAACCTCTTCAGTCCCAGTATGTAGGTATGTTTTCCTGCTTTTTCAAAATTATGGAATAAATACCTGCCCTGATTTACATGTAATGCAGTGTATTAAATTTTTAGTGTTTCTTCTAGGCTCAGTACAGCTCTTTCATCCCCACTACCATTATGCTAATGATGTAGTGAAATAACATTGATTTTAAAACTGTCATTTTATTATTAAAAAAAAAAACAAACCCAAACAGATGTAAAGCCTAAAATATTATTTTTCCCCCAAAGTCAGAATATTGTTGTCCTACCCTACAGCACCTGGATTAGGAACAAAGGTGAAGCCATAAAGCTGAGTATCAGGAACTCCCTTGAAATGGGAGTGGAGAGGGAATACAGAACCCACAAACAACAAAATATCTGAAGGAAGAAATGCAACAAAAATTGGGTAAAATTATCCCTTGAGTAATGCTGGATGAAGTCCAAACTAAAATCACTGAACGGTGAAGCTATTCCAATTTATGCCACAGTAACATCAAAATACTTCCTTCTCCTCAATAAACATCCTTTAATTCTTTCTGGAAAATGGAAGAGTACCACATGTGACAAGTGTTCCTAAGCAGCATGCTGAGCACCAAATGTGAACTATAATTCATAATTCATGCTCAATTAATCATAATGTATAAGGAACGGCTCTGTTAATGCTTTTGCTAACTACCTAACCTATTTTGAGAGATGCAGGCAGAATTTCAGCTCTTGTGACTTGCTGTTGTGAGTGACAGACTATGGATACCCCAGCAGCTGTCAAAGTCACCAGCCTTCCCTCAATGAAGAGAAAAGCAATTCTCAGTATTGCAGGAAGCTAAGAAAAGCTCTGAAAAGCAGAAATGAAAGTATGTGAGGGTGGAGAACGCTATCTTTTCTCATGTAAATCCCGATGAAAAGCAGCCTCTGTAATCCAAGCCTTGCATCAGACTAAGATTTGAAACAACCTCAATTTAGCAAACGAGCAATTTCCTAGTGATACAACTGAAAGAGAGGAGGTCTGGTGTCTCCAGGTATTGTTCTGGAGTTATTTTTACAGGACAGCCAGGGAGCAAATCCTGATTTAGGGGAAGAAGCTTTACCTTCACATGCTACTATTTTTGTTAATCAGAAGGAGGAGTTAAAATGGACTGGCTCTTTGCTTTGCTCCCTTCACATTCTCACAGAGGAAACTGATTTGAGTCATTAATGCCACACTCACAGCTGATGGACCTGGAATCAGCCTCTGCCCCAGAATCTGTTTGTGGATATTAAAAAGCTGGACTTCATGGCCCACCATTTCTGAGCTGCATAAGCTGCCAAGAAGAGTGATAACGTGATGAATCCCTGAAATCCTCTGGCCTAATTTGTGTCATGTACCCCACAGGTACATGGTGATATTCTAGAATGCCTGCAGCATATTCAGGTAAGTGCATATGTTAGAAAACACATATAAAACTACTATGATGAAAGAGGAGATTGCATAAGGAACTCTGATGTGTTCTGCTAATGAAATTTTGCTATTTCACCCTGCCACCTAAATCTTAGGAACAATATGGAACATATTTTTCAAGCTTCTTGCAATATCATTCCTTCTTGCAATATCATTCCTGCAGTCCTCAGTATTGCAGGGCTTTCCAGCCAGCAGAAGCTCAGATAATTGTATTCCAACCTGTCATCACTAGACTTTGGGGTATTTACTTTTTCCTCCCTCTCCATTTTTAACAGCTATTTTCCATCTCAAACCAGTAAAACCTGCCATGGAAAGCTGAGCTCAGCATTAGAGCACCGCTCTTGGAAAATTTCTCGTAAAACTATTAGAACACGTAGCATTCTCCTCTCCTGAATACCGATTCCCGGCTGTTACCAACATTGGGAGAGCACGGCCGGACAGAATCCCGTGCAGGCAGGGGCCGTGCTTATGGAGGGGCAGCGCTTCCACCTGCAAGGCTGGGCAAAGGGGGAAAGAGGGCAGCCCCCCGGGTCACAACACGGGTGTGCCGGGCCAGAGGGGTGGCCAGTGCCCACCTGAGCCCTCCTGTGCTCGCCTAAACTCACTTGAGCCCTCCTAAGCTCACATGAGCCCTCCTGTGCTCTCCTAAACTCACCTGAGCCCTATATGAGCATCCTGTGCTCACCTGAGCCCACCTGAGCCCTCCTGTGCTCCCCAAAACTCCCCCGAGCTCCCCCGGGAGCGGCCGCGCCTCCGCCCCCTGGCCGCCAGGTGGCGCCGCAGCACCGGCTCAGGGGGGAGCGGAGCCCGCGCGGGACCGGGACCGGGATTGGGATCGGGGACCGGGACCGGGATGGGGATCGGGGACCGGGATTGGGACCGGGGATGGGGATCGGGGACCCGCTCAGGGCCAGCAGCTCGCCCAGCCGTCAGGGAGCGCACCCTGAGCCTGCCGTGCAGCTTTTATTCGGAATAATTTCTCGCGCTGCCCCGGGAGATGGGATCTGTGCCGCGGCGGGCAGAGCCTCACCCGCCTCATCCACGGCCGCCGGGAAACTGTTCCTCTGCGACCATGAAAGTACTCGCAGCAGCCTGATCCTCAGACAACACCCACTCATGAACAACTGTACTCAAACTCACAGTCCCACAGAATCCAATTAAACAACACAAGAGCATAAAGCTACTCATGTATTCATGGATACGGATAGCTGCATCCAACATTTACTTTGGTCTGGTGCCAGTTACAGTAACCATCCCTTATCTGCATTTCAGTTCTCAGCTCTACAATTAAAAGTTACATTCAAGCATCCTCCTCCCAGTGGGCCCACAAGGATGAGGCTTTTATAGGTCTTGAAATACATTATGCATCCACTACTTGTGTTTGCTGTCCAGGAAATCTCCATTGGACTCTACAGGGAAAGCACAAAACAATGTGCTATGGATTCAGGATTTTGTGCCTATCTCAGTGATTGTTATAATGTCAGAATAAAAGGAACATAGCTACTTGATAATTAATTACACTCTAATTGCATTCACCTGGAAGAAATAGATAGCACTAAGGGGCAAACAGGTCAATAATATTAGTATAGATGATCACCAATCTTGCATATACAAGTACCAATTAGTTAAGCAGAGTCAGTGATAATTTGCTTGAAGGATCCTGAATGTAGAGATAAACTAAACACATGGACAATAAGAGAAATAAAACTACAACGTAATCTAAACTGGTGATCTATTTCCCTTTTTTATGGCTGCAGCAGCAGGTTAACCCCTGGGAGGAATGGGAGCATCGATGCCACCTCCACAGCTGACCTGTGCACAGTCCACCTCTGCAAAGAGCCTCCCTGCAGGTTTTGGAATGCAGCAGGGTTATACTAATGTGTGCAAGAGAGATGGAAAACCAGGGCTGCTCACTCCTGTGTAATGACAAGAGATGGTGCAGGGTAACTTGGCCCAGACGTGGCTGGAGCTGGCTCTCTGCTCAAGGAATGCAGTTGGACCATCCACAAGCAGAAGGCACTGCTGGTGAAACTTCCTTACTCAAGCGTGGGGCCCTGGTCTTTCACCTAACAGAGGGGAAAAATAGATGGAAACAAGCCTTTAGTGCTGCTGATTCATGGGGTATTGCACCAAGCCACAAAGAGAGGTAAACTTTGGGCTGCTATTTCGAGGCCTTTTACTGATCTTCAGAATAGCAGAGCTTTTCCCCAGCCCTCAGCCCAGCAGCAATGACACAAGTGAATGGACTCTTCCGTGGGTTTGGTAGCACAGAGCTCCCCCAGGACTCCTTGGCCTGTGCCTACAGAATCTGGGAGTCACACATGAGCCCCACCCAAGCACCATAAAAATGACTGCTGCAGATCCTGGCATTCCAACACATTGATGAGTCAAGAAACAACAGCTTGGTACAACCAATGAGAACATGAAATTTGCAGTCCCTGAACTAACAACTTCCAGCTCAAAAACCTGTGGCTGTATTCAGTTGGTATCAGTCCAAATGGCTGAGCATTTCTTAGGGAAAACAAGAGTCAGAAGTACAGCAGAGCACTCCCAGGGCTGCTGGGTTTAGAGGAGCTCAGCTCTGCCCTCAGCCTGAGCCAGGCTGCCATACAATCAGATATTCTCCTCAGGCATTGCCAGGGTAGGGGAGGAGACAAATCATCAAAAAGGAGCCTTGCAGCGTGCAGAGAGAGCACCATGCTCTGCTATTGAAGTGCAGGGTCTGCTCTTGCACATCTGTGCTGCCATTTAGTCCTTACAGACTAATTCCTTCTCTCCTGGGGCTTGCAGCTCATTCAGCATTTCCACTGCTTTTCCCTTTGCTGATGTGCAGTGGGTGTAACTGGACTTCACACATGGTCAAGTATGTACAATTTTGTTATTATCATGCAAACTACTGCCCTTAGGACTGAAAAGCATCTGCCTCTCAGATGGAAGAGTAGAACTTCTTGGCCAGGGTGAGGAACCATTATATACCTACTGTTCAAAGTGCAGTTCTTTTAAACTGAACTATGATGAAAAATACCAACTGTAAAAATATCTGTGATGAAGTTTCCATGCCTCATAAGGACACTGGGAGACCTGCATGGTTGTTGGATAAAAAAAGAATGTGCAGTTGTTTCACAAACAGCTATGAGGCCCCTGTTCTCTTTGATTGTAGCCATTGGTGAAAAGACAATTTCTCATTAGGCCCTTTCTATGGTCCATGGAATGAAAAGCAGTTTGTCCAGCACGAGGCCAGGACAGGCCCCAGCAAAGCATCTGAAATCCAGCTGCTAATCAAGAATGCTTTTGCTGGTGGGATCCACAACTGGAATTGCTTATGGACCCATCCAAAGCCACGTACATGCCAGATCCTCGGGAGCATTATTCTCACACAACTGTTCTAACCTTGAGGATGACTTGAGCTCTCATCAGCCATCTGCCTTACAATAAGTTGACATCCTTATGTATTCTCTCCGCCAAAAGGCAACTTTTAAAATGCTATTTAAAAAAACTGTGTACAAATTAAACAGTCAACACGTTTTACTGCTGCTCAGTAACTGAAATGTTTTCACTATACTATGCAATCTATAACTGCTGAAATTACTTTCATGTGTGTTTATAAGTCTTCCTATATTTTCTCCTCATTACTCCAAATACATTTTAAAAGCTTGTTAAGATAGATTTGTTGGTATTTTATATCTAGCTGACTGTGCATGTTAAAGGCTTCAACTGTAACTTTCCTAACTTGAAACACACTATTCTTCATGCTGCTTGCTAAAACACATATCATTGCAACCATGTACATTAATTGGCTTGTCTGGGGAAACAGAACTCAGTTTATGAAGTCTGTCATCCTGCTTTGTAGCTTAATTATAAAATAAAATTAATTTTCTTTTCCCCCAGCCAGACTATTTGCTCTGCGTTTTTTCTTTTTCCCCCTTCCTCATGCTGCTGTTTAAATTCCAGGGCTGAGTAACTGATCCTGCTCCCAGGGCTGGTGGTGAGTGCAGTGTTCCTGAGGGAATGCAGGCTCTGCCAGGGTCCAAAACTGCACTGGTAACCACCTGGAGCTGAGGGGTGCTGGCAGAAAATCATGCCCAACCTAAAGTCTGCCATTTCCAACAGAGGCAAAGGATTATTTAATTTATTGCACACTGACTCGTGATGTTCTGTGTATACCCAGTCCCTCTACAGCGCAGCAGGGGCTGCCACATACCCAAAAAGCAGGGAAGATCAGACATGTATTTACAGGGACAAAGGAACAACAAACCTGTAGGAAACAGGTGGAGCAACTCTTGTCAGAGGCCTTATTGCAACTTAAACCTAATGTACAAAGCAGGGATTTAAAAAAATATCCAAAACTATAAGATATCTCTGTGAAAATTAACTTCTTTTGTTATACCATACTGCTCAGGGTCTAAGTCCAGAGGTCCCATCCAGCAAGTCCCAGCTCCCTAAACTTCCACTCTTCTGAAAGAGTCCCCATGATAGGTTGATTTTAAGGCAACTCTTCAAGCAGCAGGATCCTGAAGCACTATACAACCCTACAATACCCAGGTATGCTAATTGTTTCTTCCTTCTCTAACACATAATTCTGCATGTTTTAGAAGTCAGATCCTGTAAAAAGTCTTCTGAATCAGAAGCCAGAATCTTAACTATTAATTTGGAATAGAAATCAAAACTGTCAAAATTCACAATGCACATGCTACTGCAAATTTGGCTTCTTATCACACAAAACCTAATTTCTCTTTACAAAGAGATCAATCTAGATCAAGACACATGTCCTCCAATAAGCAGCCCCTCTGTAAAAACATTCAGGTAAAAATCCTTACTTTAAGAAAGGCACCAGGATCCTCCAAGTTCTCCCTTCTGACTGCACCAGCCCACTCCCCCCACAATGGCAGGAAGGCCATATACGCCAAGAGTTATTGGCATCATCTGTAACTAGGCATGCTGCTAGTGATTTAGGAAATCTGCTAATGGGAAATTAATTGGAATCAGGATCAGCCAATTGCACAAATTTTCCCCTTGATTAACACACCCACTTGTTGACAGGATGAATTACAAGTCGTGCCATTCACTGACGTAGCTGGGCCCAGGGAACTCGTCGGTGCCCTTGCAGTGTTGTGGCATTTAATGTGTCCAGGAACTGTTGATGCTGGCAGGGTTTGCAAAGGGTGGGGGTGCTGGGGGTGCCACAGCAGGAACTAAGCAGGGAGAGGAGCAAAGCTCAGTCCACCCAGCCCCTGCCTGTGACCTGCCCTGGGCTGGGGCTGGAACCCATTGCTGGCTCTGCAGTGACAGTGACAAACACGGTGTGACCGGCCAGGAGCTCCACAGCTGCAGCACCTGCACCAGCCCTAAGAAAGCACAAAGCAGGAAAGGGGAGCTCAGCAGAGCCCAGCAGAGCGTGTGGTGCCTCCCTGTGCTGGGGGAGCCGCAGGTGTGGCTGCTGCACACCCTCCTGCCGGGCCTGGCCAGCACGGGGCCTGCACACAGCGCGGCTGCCGGCCTTGCTCCGCTGCCCCCTGCAAGCAGCCAGCTCTTCTTCTGTGGTCATGGCTGGGCTCAAATCTTCATCTTTCTTATGTTTGTAACTTTAAAAAACATTGGGGAAGCCACTGAACTTAGAGAAGTGCCAGGCAAGTGTGGAGTCAAAGCGGGGAGGCAGATGCCCAGCAGAGCTGTGGGCTGAGGGCACTCTGACCCAGGAGCACCCTGAGCTCTCTCCTCTGTCCCACTGTGTCCTGGAGCAGCCTCTCCAGAGTGTGCCAAAAATACCCACAGCAAACACCAGCGGGTACATGGATACTCATTTCTTCTGTGCCGTATTACCAAATTATTTCTGAATAAAACCCAGACAGGGTTGCCACAAGCATTTAGATTTGGCCTAATGCTGCCCCAGCACCGCAGGAAGAGCATGGCTTGCTATGATAGCTTGCAGTTGGCCATGGGACTTAAGGCAGGCTGTTTTTCTCCAGTTCAGTGTTTTACAATTCCACATTAAGTACAGCGAATGCTAATGAGAGAGCCCTGGAGCTGCTGGGGTGGTCTGTAACAGGGGATGACAGGTCCCCAAGGAGAGGATCAGACTCCCTTCTAATGTGACAAGTGTGGCTGTGTGATTCTCTGCTCTCCTGACATGCTTCCCCTGCTGCCTTGTGAGGAAGGACAGCCTTTTATCTCAGAGGAGAGGCAGTGGGTTGGAAGAAGATGATGATCAGCTTTGCTCTCACATGGAGGGGGATGAGTTGCAAATTACCTGCTGTCAGTGGAAGGCCGAAGCCAGAGCAGAATGCTGGGCAGGGTGCTGGGCTGGAAACAAGATGTGTGTTAAAAGGGGAATGGAATGCTTGAAGGGTACTGAGTGTTTTGAAGCAGAAAACATTTTGCAGAAGAGATGTCTGCATAAGTAACATCTTTATAAGCAGGGATATATGGAGATTAGAAATTGCTCCAAGAGCTGTGAGAAAATGAAGATTTACTGCTTTAAGTAAAAAGGGAAAAGGAGATTCCAGGCTGTGCCCTTACTTTGCAGGGAAAGCATTACTATGTGAGGTTTTGATGAATAGCTGTAAGGAAGGCTGAGTAGGCTCTGCTCACTGTCAAAGGCAGATTGAACCTGAGCTCACTCATGGCAGAGCAGGATCAACCTCTGCCTCTGAGAGAGAGCAGTGGGGTCACTCTGCCTGCCCCAGTGCTGCCCTGGTGCCCGGGGTGCCCTGCAGCAGTGAGTGCCCTCCTGGCCCCAGGCAGCCCAGCCACAGGCCTGAGGCTGGGCAGGATTTGAGCACTGGGAATCCACCAGTGGCCTGGGACTGGGAAACTGCTGTAGACACAGCCCAGGGGAGCACTGGAGTTCTTTGCTGGCAGGTGCAACAGGAGTCCCTGGAACAGCAGACAGAGCAGGACAGTGTGGCACAGTCCCAGTGACTGCAGCCAGAGGGGAGAGCAGCCAACAGACACCAAATCCATCTCCTGAGCCCAGAGCCAGCCCAGAGGGCACACGGCACCCAGGCACATCCTGCAGCAGTCACTCACTGCCTGTCACAAATGCATAAATCATGGGCTTTCCATCCAATTAGTACTCAAAGGTGTGAAGATTTTTCTGCATTTAGAAATTTCTGAGAAATTAATCTCTAAAGCAGTTGCTTTCAGTCTAATGCTCCTGAGGGTTTGGAGGGGGTTATTTGTATGGATTTCCTTTTTTTTTTTTTTTTTTTTTTTTTTTTTTTTTTCTGACTGTTGTCAGGCTTACTCTGAATGCCAAGCTCCTGTTGCTTTACCTGTGCATAAGAGGATGTTGCAAATGCCAGAGACAGTTTTCCTTGCAGGAGCCCAGGGCTTCCCACCCAGTCAGTAATGGCAAACACCACCCTCATCATCATGGAACTCCCACATTCTGTACAGAGAGCACTGTGGATACATTAGTGATCAAACTAATGTCAGCTATGACAGAATAAAAGTCTTTGAAGATTAAGCAGGAAAAAAAGTCTTTGAAATAGATATTGAAAAGTTATGCTGTCCTTTTACTTATCTAAAGCTTCCAACAGTGGTCTTGCAGAACAGAACTGACCAGAGATTTCTTTATCATGCATGAAATTATTTTATTTCATCCTGGTGCGGGAAAGTACATGAAAATCATGCAGAAAAGAGTAAAGTTTTAAGTCTGACAGGAAAAAAGGCAAATAGAATGATTAATGCTAAGCTCTCTTACCTGCTGACCATCCCAAACCTGATCTCTGTGTGGAGCCAAGAATTAAAAATACATCAAACTCCATTCAATTTGCAGGTATCAGAGAGGTACCAACTGGAAAATATTAACTCGTTCCTTCCTCTGATGCTGTTTGCAGAAGCCACACAGTGCACAGAGAGTCCCAACAGAAAATGGGATCTCATTTTACTGCAAGACAAAATTGCACACCTCTTCTTCAGTCAATCAAGCTGTTAACAACATTAACAAAAATAAAAACTCAACAGATTTTTTTAAAATCAGAACAGCTTTTTAAGACACTGAAAATGAAAACATCTTCCTTGTGAGAGGGCAGGGGCTGTGTTCTCTGAGCCAAAGGTGTGAGTTCATCCACCTGAACTCACATCACACCTTTGCCACTCAAGGAGTGCCATCACAGGAACTTCATTTTATATTTTATACATAAAGTTATATTCACATTATATTTTCCTGGTGTAGCTGTAGGCTTCTGTCAGAACCAGCAGTTTGCATTCCCTCCCTCAGTTTGTCCTGCTCCACAGTCCTGTCCCCTCGCCTGTGCTGAAATCAATGACTGGGCTGGTCAAAGGGGACAGGCAGGTTATGGGATTTTGTGGGGATCTTTTTACTGAGATAGTTTCCTGTCAAATTTGGCCAACCACCTCTACAAGATCCAGTGCAGGAGGGACAGCAGAAATGCAATGCCAAGAGTGGAGCTGGGAGCATTTCTGACAGCAGCTGTCATTAAGCAGGTGTAACACCAGACTGCTCCTTATGGGGACTAAGGATGTTTGTTTATATAATCTGGAAGTCAGAAACAATTCTGAGAAAGAGAGTGAAAATTTGAGATAAGTAAGAAAAGGCATTTGAAATAGCAGAGAAATCCATTAATTGACTCTGATTTCAGGCAACAAATCTGATTTTCCTTTAGCTCATATCAAGCTAAATCTGTCTGCCTCACTCACATTGTTCTGAACTCTGTTAGGATTTGTTCAAAATCTCACAGCCCACCCAAAAACTCTGCTGGGCTTCATTAATTTTTGTCTTTGGGTGAGATCAAACACACATAACCTTGCAAAATTCAAAAGGCAGATCACGTGCAAAGAAATTACCAGATACTCAACCTCCCCATGG